CGGTCTGTTTGGACTGCAAAGAGAGTTCATACTTTCATAAGAAAATGTCATGCGTGTTTTCAAATATAATAGGCGGGTGTGGTGCGGAGTTAACAAGGGTTAATTTCTAAAACGATTTAAATAAAAATGGAAAATGGCCTGATTGCCTCTATAAATAGAAAACATGAGCTTTATGACCTGTGGAAAAGGCAGTTAAGAAGAATGCCTCAACGCCTCTTCAACCAACCATGCAGACTGCTCTTACCCCTTTGTTTTTAATTGTACAAATAAAGTAACACGTCATGAAGAATTTAAGGGCACCCGGAAGTTATTAAACCACCTTATTAATTCTGCAAAAACGTAAGTATCATGGTGTTAAGATTACAGAATGCCGCTGGAGATAGTAGAAAACTTGGCAGATAATTAATGAACTACGTGGTAAGAAAAGACGTGAGATTAAACCTAACTTTGTGATAAATAATGAGCGTGTGATTAATCGTCGTGTAATTGCAAATGGAGTTCAATAAATACTTTGCCTCTATTGCAGCTAACTTGAACGAAGCATACTCTGGTGACTTCTTAAGAATAATTTCCTTGCCGTCAATTACTGATTACCTGCCCACATCAGTTACGTCCAGTATTTTTCTTTGTGATTGTGACTGTATTGAGATTAAAGAGATCATAAACCGAACTAAAAACGGGGAAATCTAGTGACTTACCTATTCATGTGATCAAGAAGTCGTGTCAAATTACTGCCACCGTACTTAGCTAGATACTTTAATAAATGCATGCAAGAAGGCCACTTTCCCGATGAATTAAAAACTGGGAGAATCAGCCCCTTTACAAAAAAGAAGATGAACAGCTTTTAGAAAAACTATAGACCAGTATCAACTCTACCTGTATCGGGAAAATTCTAGAAAAGTTAATATATAAGCGGCTCTATAGTTTCCTTACTTCCAAGGGTATAATACATGAAAACCAGTTCGGCTTTAGAAAAGGACACTCCACCAGCCATGCGCTGAACTACCCTGTAGAACTATAGAATCGTTAATTAGTAAAAAGCAACATGTCCTAGGGGTCTTTATCGATCTCTCAAAAGCCTTTGTCACTCTAGACCACTGTAAACTAACTACAAAATTAAACAACTACGGCATAAGAGGAAATGCTCTGAATCTTATCTCTAGTTATTTGTCTAATAGGAAACAATTTTGTAAACGTTTTGGATACCAAATCTGATGAATTACCGGTCGAATTCGGGTCCTCAGGGTAGTGTATTAGGACCTCTACTTTTCCTACTGTACATCAATGACATATGCAATATAACTAAAAAGGGTAAATTTGTCTTATTGCAGACGATACTAATATATTTGTCGCTGCCGATCGAGAAATAAAGCATATGAATTAGCTCATGAAGTACTACAGGCCGTAAAACAAGTATATGGGAGTTAACCTACTGCACAATTAATGTAAAAGAAGTGTTGTTACATGTATTTTCCTCCCTCTAAACGTAATAATAACGAAATTAGATGCCGATATAGATAGCACAAAAACTTGTCCATTAATAACCAAAATAATTAAACGTGTAAGTCAGACAAAAATTCTTGAGTAATCATGGATGATAAATTGAGGCTGGAACCACATATATCATCCCTCAACAAAAACAACTAAGAAGTGCTTGTGGACGTATCTACCGGTATTAAGAAATGCTTACCAGAATCACTGTATAAGCAATATATCATTCTCTCTTTGAATCACACCCTAGGTTATGCTATTTCTGTCTGGGGAGGTATTCCCAATAATCAGTTAAAACCGCTATTTATTACTCAAAAGAAGTGTATCAGGATTCTATTTGGAGACTATGAAGCTTATGTAGACAAGTTCAAGACATGTGCTAGAGCAAGACCAATTAATTCTCAACGTCTAGGTCTGAATTCTATGTTAAAGAGTCACTAAGCCTCTATTCACAAAACATGAATACTTGTTACAGAGAACCTGTACAGATACCGTTGTTTAATGGAACTTTTTAAGATCATTAAGTCACGAGTACCAATTTCGTTATACTACTTATTCAACATATCAAATAGGAAAGATAATCTGTTCATTACACCCTCTCCAACTAATCAATTTATTTATAAATCTGCATGGCTGTGGAATGAATTCCGTAAAGTTGGCCCGTTAAATTTCACCTCCACATGCAGATCTATCAAGAATTTACTTAAACAGTCACTTCTAAGAGCTCAAAACCGGTATGGAACTGAGTGGTGTGACAAAAATTTCACTGAATTCTGATTAAGAAGTGATATTTATTTGCCTGTTATTCCACTTAAGCACTTACTGACTGACAAGCTTATCTATGATTACCATGCTTGAATTTAGGTAAACAACATACAACTCATTTCCAAGTTACGCTGAGCGCAACCGCCGAATGACACAGCAATATGGAAACGCGCGCATAGCATTGCGCGCCGATGCTGTGCGCGCGCGTTGTCGGCCGAAACTTGGGAAGTTCCCGCTCTAATATTCAGACGACAGTGATGACTCATTAAGAGCACTAATTTCGACCACCTTTCCCGGTCGAACCATACCAAATCAAACTAATTGACCCACGTGTATAGCCAATGTCCTGGCGGTGCTGAGCCGATGTAAAACTCTTCTGTAAACTCTTTTGTCTCTTGTAACTTGTTTATATTTTATATTTTAGTTAAACTGTGTACTGTGTACAATAGTTATAGCGTATAGTGTGTAGTGTGTAGTGGATATTTTGTTGTAACGTGTCACTTTATATTTTGCTACCAACGTCAGCCTTGACTTACCATTTATTGTAATTGGTACAGCATATATCAAAATTAAAACACTGTTTTCGATCTGACGGGTGATGGGCTCTCTCTGATGGGACATAGTTCTAGGGGGTACACGGGGTACGAGTTAACGAATAGTGTTCGTGTCCTTCCACAATCCCCTCTCATTGTGTTTTTGACGGAAGAGGAGCCTAGTTCATGCGTCTGCATCGTTTAATCGAGTTAAAAATTTAGCCAATAACAAACTAAATTACATGTTATATTGATATCAGATGTAGAGTTTATAACATACAAATTCTAAATTTTTTGACGGCTGACGATGGTAAGTCGCTACGTTTAACTCGGGACTTTTATAGTCTTAAGTCTTGGAGCTCAAAATGTCTCGTGCTGTGGGCCGTATAAACGGCGCATACCACCGCCCCGCCTTACTGCTTACATTACTTCATGGTTGCAGGGCGGAGCCGGTGCCGTTTGTCTCGGCCTCGAGTGGCGAGTGCTTGCCCATCGAATACACGATTGAAACACTAATTATTTACTGGCATTCTACAGTTTCCAAAACGAAGTACGAAGGTTTATTTACTTTGAGCTTTGTTTTGGCGACTGCTTCATCGATGGGCGAGTAGGTATTTGTTGTTTAGCAGTGTTGAATATTGGAGCAATTATATAATGTATATCTCCATCATAATATAGGCTAGTGTAAACATATATGATCAATAATACAAACAAATAGTATTATATTATTGGTAACTCGCTAGATTATAAATGTTATTTAAACACATATGTTTACGTCAATTATTACTAAAATTAATATTCTTTTTGCTTTAATATAATTACATGTCACATAATTGATTAGTTGAATGAAACGTGTGCTACAAATGTCTACGCCTCACGCAGAACTGCGTACCGCTTAGTACTTCATGCTTGAGCGGTACTGCTGTTCACAGAGGCGCGCACTCAATTTAATCACAAATAACGAGCGCGCGGTTTTTTGGAATTTCTCCACTATTATTATTCGATCTATTAATTAGATCGCAGTGCTCACGGCCTGTACTGCGTGAACAACAGAAATATGTTTTAAATTTATTTTGCTTCTGAAATTTTGGCTCTAGTAATTAAGAAATGCGACATGTAATTGTAAGATAACAATTAAATAGATCCTGTGCGCGGCGCCTACAGCTGACCTACGAATTTCTGATCAATTGAAAATTTTGGCTGTGTGCGCGGCGTACTGTATATGTGTTTGAAATTGAAATTTGAATTTATTTATGAATATAACATTATGTATTGATTGTTTGTGGTAAATAAAAAATTTTTCTTTCCTAAAAAAAAAAAAAAAAAAAAAATTTTTCTTTCCTAATATGGGAGTGATGAGGTGCAATAGTCGTGGTACCAAGTGTACAGGCCTTATGATCATGGAATATGGTGCCTAATAATGGCTTAACTATCCACGAAAAAGAACTGATTATGCGATTATGTTATTGGATACGTGAGGGCACCACGAATAGAATTGCTCACCTAATGCGGGTTTTGACTCAGCGGGTAAATACTCCTACCCTTTTTAACTGCGGCAGTGAAATCCTGGCCTTCGGCCGGGTTAAACAACCGTAGTCATATAATAATCTCATAACACATATATTATAACATTTTGTATTTACTATGTATTATTATAAGATAATACTGCAACTAATACTAAGCAAGTAATTAATAAATTAGCTAAAATTAGTTAAGATCTTAACTGGAGGCAATTGTGAAAGATAAGTATTGAAATAACTTACCTGCAAATTATTCCGATGAGGTTAGATTTAACCTCATCATAGACTTAGTTTGGTTTAGAGGTTGGTCCCCATAATTGAGTTGGGTTACCCTTCAGAAATTGATGTACCTGAGATCACGCTCAAGAACCCCGGCCCACCACGCCCTGACAGACCATATAAAATAGTCACTTTTCTCTCGAATATTCTTTAATCTCACTGGCGTGATCTTCTAGATGTGACGCTAATCCACACTATCTCTTAGTAATTTGGATATGTTTTAATGTTAAAAGGTGTAATAAATGCTAGCATTTATATATTAGTTTTATTAAATTATTGTCATCAGATTTGCAATCGAATTATATAAATGTTACTTTTTCTTATTTTGAAAACCTTTTCATAACTCTTGAGCTACTCAAAGTTTTACTTCTCTACGAACACACATGGTTCAATCCTTTAACAGATTATAACTTGACTCAGGATGGCAGAAACAGATATTGGACAATGGTACAGCAATATTCCCTTCTTCACAAAATGGTGGTTTACTCTAACTCTTATTTGCACCCTGGGGGCTAACTTTGGAGCGTTACCTGTTGCTCACATGTTGCTGGACTGGAACTTAGTCGTCTACAAGTTTCAGGTGTGTAGTGTCTCTTTTAATCTAAATTATCAAGTTAAGAATGTGCAATCTTCAAGTTCGGAAGTGTATCGTCTAGAACGACAAATTCATAACACTTAAAAGCATGAATCGTTGTTAGGAATCTAATTTAAAATTTAATAAATTACTAATTTACTGATTTTTCGAAAATGCTCTTATTCTAAGCTTCTCCTTAAACTAGAATTTAACATATATTTATTAGTCGAGTCAATGATTTCAAAAGTTATATTTCCTGACATTTTTCAGTTTTGGAGGATGCTCGGATGTGTATTCTTCATGGGAAAACTTGGCTTCCCATTCCTGATCAATGTTTACTTTCTTTACAGCTACTCCCTCAGGCTTGAAACAGGTAATAATATGTGTTTCAACTGCAGCTGCTCAGAATAATTCCGTTTTCATATTCGTTACAGCCGTACATAATACGCATTGAATAACATATTCACAGGCTATTCTGTTGACAGGATTTACTCATTGCGGGAGTTTTCACGAACTTTTTAATTTTGACTTCATTCCAGAACCCGTCCCGGATTCCAATTGGAATTAATTTTCAATTGTAAATCCTTGTTGACCACTGAACCACTGTGCATAACGTGCCTGGTTGTCCGTTTAGCAATACTAGGTTGTGCGTTAAGCAATACTAGATATTTTGTTTGCATTTATCATGTCAATCCCATCGATCAGTATGTGTTTACTTACCACAGGGGCGTGGGGGGGGGGGGGGGGGGGTCAGTAGACATACTTCGCGTTGGACCTTATAAAATAGCCATGTTTTTATATTTGAGACCTTTAACTTTGAAAATAGCACTGTAGCAGCTCATTCGAGGATCATTTCCCAAAAATTTGAAAATTCGATTTTTAGAGGTCACATACAATCAAAATTGAATTGCTTATACTCGTGTTTGCCAACATGCTAGAAACTCCATTATTGCAATAGGTCATTTAATGTGGAATTTGATCTGAAAAGATGACTCGAAACAGATTTAAAATTACGTAGTTATCAAGCAGTTTGTCTACATTTATTGAATAATCCAGGTAGCGCAGTTGGTTAGAACGCCTGTCTTACAATCGTTAGGTTGCGAGTTCGAAACCCACTGACTGCCTGGTCGTGGGGTGAGCGTCGTCGACGTTCAGCTAAGGATCATGAGTGGTCTATGCAGCCCCCCGGTCTACTCAGCCGAATACTCGAGAAATCGGGTGTGAGGGTTAAATGAGGAGCTGCACATTGCAGCAAAGTCTCGGACGAAGAAAGTATGGTACACACTACGTTAACCGTCACTGGCCAAAAAGATCCTTCGGCTTCCTGTAATTGGCTGGTTGCACTTGTGTAACATTGTGGCTGTTGGAATACACCGAAGTAAAATAAGTGTCTAGATAAAAAAAAAATGTGATAGGGTGCTATGACACCTTAATCGGGCTGTCTGCACGATTCCTATAGTGCGGATCTAATCACGTGATCACGTAAGCTCTAGCTTAAAGCTAATCAACTGAACTCACGAAATGAATAAACATTAAACATTTTATGCTTGATATCTCGGTCATCTGAGTAGCTAGAGCTCCCATTTTTTCAGGAAAAGTTCATTTTAAAAGGTCAAACACAATGCATTACAACAATTTGACTCGATTCACTCATTCAAACCATCTAAAAACCGCGAAAATGATCGTTCATTCGGAAAAAATGAACACCTTTATTACCAGGCGAATATTGAAAGTTTATCTGAGCAACAGCAATTACTCTGCTCGTTAAACAAAACACAATATTCGACTGTTTTTTTTATTTCAGGTGTTTTCGACGGTAGACCAGCTGACTACTTCTTCCTTCTCATTTTCAACTGGCTGGTTCTTATTATCCTGGGTTTCATTATTCCCCTTAAGGTAAGGAAGATAAGAAGTAGCTGTTTTATAATATTGATATCGAGCTACTTACCTACTGTAGAAAGTTAATTAGTTCGCTGTAAATAATTGTCTTAAGTTATTGCTCGCTTATATTTAAAGTTAGCTGAATTGTTTCAGATTATTGGTATGCCTCTGGTGATATCCGTGTTATACGTGTGGTGTCAAGTAAACCGAGACACTGTTGTTCAGTTCTGGTTTGGGACCCAGTTTAAAGCTATGTACCTGCCCTGGGCATTGGCCGCTTTCAACGTTCTTCTTGGCGGAAAGTAAGTATTTCACGACACTGTATTTCTGCTTTTGTAGACTAAAGTGATCGATACAATCATTTGTTCCACTGAACAATATTTAAAGAAAGCGCACGGAAATTCATCCGAACTTTCTCAGAACGTCACTTCCGTGCCCATCTTACTATCTAAAAAGTATAAAGAAAATCGTATATTCAGACTTTGAGAAAATCGACTGCGTTCAGTAGAATTCGTTGATATTTTCGTGTGTTTGAAATGTTATTTCAAAATTGACACAGAAATTTACTAAACTTGCACATATTTTCAAACTTATATATATTTTACTATCTTGAAAGTTTGAAGAAAAGAGTATGTTCAGATTGTGAGAAAATCATTGTGTAGAACGCTTGATTTTCGGCCTCGCTATCTGGGACACGGAGAGAGTTGGACTTTCTGTTCCATTTGTACCGCGGAACAATATTTGACGAAAGTCGATTATCTTGAGATCCTACTGATAAATTTTCTTTAAACTTTCCAGATAGTTGTATGGCTATGAGACGGATATTCTGTGCGATTTTGGGCGAATTTCTATGTGCCAAACCTGAGATATGACTTCAAACACAAGAAAATATCTCAAAATGGCGGTTTCTAGCGGAACGCAGGCACATATTTCGAGATCCTACTGATAAATTTTCTTTAAACTTTCCAGATAGTTGTATGGCTATGAGACGGATATTCTGTGCGATTTTGGGCGAATTTCTATGTGCCAAACCTGAGATATGACTTCAAACACAAGAAAATATCTCAAAATGGCGGTTTCTAGCGGAACACAGGCACATATTTCGAGATCCTACTGATAAATTTTCTTTAAACTTTCCAGATAGTTGTATGGCTGTGAGACGGATATTATGTGCGACATTGCGCGAATTTCTATGTGCCAAACCTGAGATATGACTTCAAACACAAGAAAATATCTCAAAATGGCGGTTTCTAGCGGAACGCAGGCACATATTTCGAGATCCTACTGATAAATTTTCTTTAAACTTTCCAGATAGTTGTATGGCTGTGAGACGGATATTATGTGCGATTTTGGGCGAATTTCTATGTGCCAAACCTGAGATATGACTTCAAACAAAAGAAAATATCTCAAATTGGCGCGTTCTAGCGGAACGCAGGCACATATTTTGAGATCCTACTGATAAATTTTCTTTAAACTTTCCAGATAGTTGTATGGCTATATGACAGATAATCTGAGCAAGTTTGGGCGAATTTCTATGTGCCAAACCTGAGATATGACTTCAAACACAAGAAAATATCTCAAAATGGCGGTTTCTAGCGGAACGCAGGCACATATTTCGAGATCCTACTGATAAATTTTCTTTAAACTTTCCAGATAGTTGTATGGCTGTGAGACGGATATTATGTGCGACATTGGGCGAATTTCTATGTGCCAAACCTGAGATATGATTTCAAACACAAGAAAATATCTCAAAATGGCGGTTTCTAGCGGAACGCAGGCACATATTTCGAGATCCTACTGATAAATTTTCTTTAAACTTTCCAGATAGTTGTATGGCTGTGAGACAGATATTATGTGCGATTTTGGGCGAATTTCTATGTGCCAAACCTGAGATATGACTTCAAACACAAGAAAATATCTCAAATTGGCGCGTTCTAGCGGAACGCAGGCACATATTTCGAGATCCTACTGATAAATTTTCTTTAAACTTTCCAGATAGTTGTATGGCTGTGAGACGGATATTATGTGCGATTTTGGGCGAATTTCTATGTGCCAAACCTGAGATATGACTTCAAACACAAGAAAATATCTCAAAATGGCGGTTTCTAGCGGAACGCAGGCACATATTTCGAGATCCTACTGATAAATTTTCTTTAAACTTTCCAGATAGTTGTATGGCTGTGAGACGGATATTATGTGCGACATTGGGCGAATTTCTATGTGCCAAACCTGAGATATGATTTCAAACACAAGAAAATATCTCAAAATGGCGGTTTCTAGCGGAACGCAGGCACATATTTCGAGATCCTACTGATAAATTTTCTTTAAACTTTCCAGATAGTTGTATGGCTGTGAGACAGATATTATGTGCGATTTTGGGCGAATTTCTATGTGCCAAACCTGAGATATGACTTCAAACACAAGAAAATATCTCAAATTGGCGCGTTCTAGCGGAACGCAGGCACATATTTCGAGATCCTACTGATAAATTTTCTTTAAACTTTCCAGATAGTTGTATGGCTGTGAGACGGATATTATGTGCGATTTTGGGCGAATTTCTATGTGCCAAACCTGAGATATGACTTCAAACACAAGAAAATATCTCAAATTGGCACGTTCTAGCGGAACACAGGCACATATTTCGAGATCCTACTGATAAATTTTCTTCAAATTTTCCAGATAGTTGTATGGCTATGAGACAGATAATCTGAGCAAGTTTGGGCGAATTTCTATGTGCCAAAATTGAGATATGACTTTAAACTCATGAAAACATCTCAAATTGGAGGTTTCGGAACAATATTTGACGAAAGTCGATTATTTTGAGATCCTACTGATAAATTTTCTTCAAACTTTCCAGATAGTTGTATGGCTATATGACAAATAATCTGAGCAAGTTTGGGCGAATTTCTATGTGCCAAACTTGAGATATGACTTCAAACACAAGAAAATATCTCAAAATGGCGGTTTCTAGCGGAACGCAGGCACATATTTCGAGATCCTACTGATAAATTTTCTTTAAACTTTCCAGATAGTTGTATGGCCATGAGACGGATATTCTGTGCGATTTTGGGCGAATTTCTATGTGCCAAACCTGAGATATGACTTCAAACACAAGAAAATATCTCAAAATGGCGGTTTCTAGCGGAACGCAGGCACATATTTCGAGATCCTACTGATAAATTTTCTTTAAACTTTCCAGATAGTTGTATGGCTATGAGACGGTTATTCTGTGCGATTTTGGGCGAATTTCTATGTGCCAAACCTGAGATATGACTTCAAACACAAGAAAATATCTCAAAATGGCGGTTTCTAGCGGAACTAATATTTGGGGCATAAGAATTCACCCAAACTCGCACAGATTGTTCCTATTATAGCCATGTAACTATCTGGAAAGTTTTAAGAAAATCTATCGGTCAGATCTTGAAATATATGCCTGCATCCTGCAGAAACCGCCAATTTGAGATATTTTCTTTGTTTGAAATCATATCTCCAGTTTGGCACATAAAAATTCGCCCAAACTTGCTCAGATTATCCGTCTTATAGCCATGTAACTATCTGAAAAGTTTAAAGAAAATTTATCAGTAGGATCTCGAAATATGTGCCTGCGTTCTGCTAGAACGCGCCAATTTGAGATATTTTCTTGTGTTTGAAGTCATATCTCAAGTTTGGCACATAGAAATTCGCCCAAACTTGCTCAGATTATCCGTCTCATAGCCATACAACTATCTGGAAAGTTTAAAGAAAATTTATCAGTATGATCTCGAAATATGTGCCTGTGTTCCGCTAGACTGCGCCAATTTGAGATATTTTCTTGTGTTTGAAGTCATATCTCAAGTTTGGCACATAGAAATTCGCCCAAACTTGCTCAGATTATCCGTCTTATAGCCATGTAACTATCTGGAAAGTTTAAAGAAAATTTATCAGTAGGATCTCGAAATATGTGTCTGTGTTCCGCTAGAACCCGCCAATTTGGAGATATTCTCTTGTGTTTGAAGTCATATCTCAAGTTTACCACATAGAAACTCACCCAAAATCGCACAGATTATCCGTCTGATAGCCATACAACTATCTGGAAAGTTTAAAGAAAATTTATCATTCAGATCTCTAAATATATACCTGTGTTCCGCTATAACCCGCCAATTTGGAGATATTTTCTTGTGTTTGAAGTCATATCTCCATTTTGGCATATAGAAATTCTCCCAAACTCTTACACATTATCCGTCATATAGCCATCTTACTATCTGGAAAGTTTAAAGAAAATCTATCAGTCAGATCTTGAGAAAATCAAAATTATATTCTAAGATATTCACTAAAACACTCGATTTTCGATCTTTTTATTTGGAACAGATTTGTCGAAAGTCCTTCTGCACGGAGAAAAAGTTATAACGTATCTGTAACGCGCGGCGACGTTTTCGTATAAAATTCTATTGGGAAGTGCGCGTCTTTTCTGTACTGCGCGCGCCGCGCGTATTATTAAGTCAACGTGTCCCACTTTGACTGAATCAACGAGTTGGCTGAATTGTGAATGAAGGGGTCGTTCACATATTACATAATATAACGTAATCATTTTTTGGAACATTTTTACCCCCACCCTCCGTAATCAGTTTTACACATAGTTATTGTGTCAAAATTATACTGGCGTAATCATTCGGAACCCCCCCTCAGCTGATAACGTAATATGTGAACAACCCTTAAGTAGAGTTGATATTCTATAATCTATATGAACGGCACGTCAGCAGCTTCAGAAAGGCAGAAATTGAGCGACCCATATCTACTGTAATATAAAGTATGTGCTAAACACAGCGTTAGATTAGAAATACAGTTTCCTCGAAAACTGGGACAATTTTGTTGCTCCATCTAGTCATTGTAAAGATGTAAAAATGGATTGCCTGGGATTTATCGGACTGCTTCTTGTGCATCGTGTATAAATTCTTTTTCAAAATTCCACTTTGTCATCGTGAAAGACAGATAATTTGAAAGTTTTCTGGCTCAAGAAAATTTGCATCTCATTTGTTGCAGCAAGTTTAACCCCGCTCCTTTTCAGTGGAATAATGGAGCTCATTGGAATATTTGTGGGCCACATGTTCTTCTTCCTGAAGTACAAGTACCCTATCGATTATGGTGGTGTATCTTTCCTCAACACTCCTCAGATCATGTGAGTCGTCAGCTAAATTTTGAATCATTAATTACATTATATATTAGATAGTTAACTTTAGCCCAAATTAATTATGTTTGAGGCAATTTTAGTGAAGTTTTCAATGTTGCACAATCTGCGTCACCCATCATTAATGTATCTTTCAGGTACAAGTATTTCCCGAATAGATCAGGAGGTGTCAGTGGATTTGGACAGGCTCCTGCTTCCAGGAGACCCGAGGCCAGGGCTGAGGGCCGACACGACTGGGGTGCTGGAAACAATCTCGGGGGAGACTAAACTTCAGGAATTGAGATCGGAGAATTTATACTGACCAGGTTTCATGTGTCCGAGCTGGGACAGTCGATATTGCTTCAGTAATTTGAGTTGAAAGGAGAAGAGATATGACTGTTTTGTCGAATTTTTAGACTTTTTGAGTTGAGAACAGAATTGAACTTCAGCCGTTATTGGCATATGTTACATTAGATTGATATGAATCTTATTTGAGAAAAACAAGTTGAAAACCCAACATATTATATACTTTTTGATTGAGCAACACACCGATAAAGAGAAAAATGAGCATTAAAACACGTTTAATTCGCGAATTAGTAAGATAACAAATCTGCAAATAATTTAGTACTTTCTCAGCATTTCCTCTCCATCTTCAATAATCTGTTCGAGTGATTTGGTTTGCTGGCAGTAATAGCCTTTCATAGTCCAATTATATATCATCTTAGCTTGCCACGATGGAGCAACCCGGTGAAATATTCTGGCGCCCTTGTCGTCACAAAACCTGAATATTGACTATTTGAATCATCAATAATGGATTTATGCGGAATATATGTATATATGTATTATAATATTATATATGTATTATAAGATGTGAACACAAGGCTTGAATATGAAACTCCTTAAACTCCTACTAAGTACCATCAAAACAAACCTGTCGTATTGCTTGCTGTAAGTTTTGGGAATATCCCTGGCCTTCAGTCCAATTCTGTCTGCCAAGGCACCCACGTAAGCATCTTCTATTCTAAATGCTACCATGATGTGCTTTGCGTTAAGGTCTATGATCTGCTTAGCTGCCCTGCAATGCATAGATCACGTTTAAATCTGGTTAATAAACGGGTTATGTAAGTTATGTAAGATGTATGTGATGTATTAATTAAGAACTGTAATCCTCCCTCCCTGAGATAACGCTGCTGCTATAAAACTTGATACATGCTTCGCGCGCGAAAAGTGGCATGCAACGTATGTCAATATAAAACCTACAAATGACTGAGAATGTAAGCCCCTCCTACATGGTAGGGAGGTAAAATGTCTGGTTCAAACTCCCACTTCTGTATTCCCCACTGTCCCTCCCTCTGCACCTCGCGGGAGCCATGTCGGATCATTCCTGAAAATAGTAGACAGTTACCTGCTGTTGAGAATGTAAGCTCCCCCCACTGCAAAGGGTGGCAGGGTGTCCGGCTCGTATTCCCATTTCTCAACCCCCCACTGCCCTTCTCGCATTGTGTGCCTGGGACCCCGCAGCAACATCCCTGAAACACCGGCAGTTTAGCGGGGTCGGAAGTCCATTTTTAAAGGTGATCCCTGTCATGTCTAAGGTTGAAAACCCGTTAGAATGATAAAATACTAAAAATAAGATTTCACCCACAGCTCAGTTATAAGACATAACATTACCTCCATAGTAACCAATGTTCATGTCATTATATTTAGGTTTGATGTATTTATAGAGGAAGTCGAACAGAAGGGCAGGGTTGATGAAGGAGTCATCGTCTACTTTAAACATGTAATCAAAGGTATACCGCTCTACTGCATACCTGAAAATATGTGGCAATAGACGAAAATATTGATGATCACATCAACCTTTCCAGGAACAAAACTTATACCTCTATCCCGATAAAATATTATACCAGTACCTGCATGTTACCTTAGTAACCAGTATATCACCCCAGTAACCACTATGTCACCCTAGTAACCTGCATGTTACCTAAGTAACCAGTATTTTACCTAAGTAACCAGTATGTCACCCTAGTAACCAGTATGTTACCTAAGTAACCAGCATGTTACTTAAGTAACCTGCATGTTACCTAAGTAACCAGTATGTCACCTAAGTAACCAGGATGTCACCCTAGTAACCAGTATGTCACCCTAGTAACCACTATGTTACCTTAGTAACCAGTATTTTACCTAAGTAACCAGTATGCCACCCTAGTAACCAGTATGTTACCTAAGTAACCAGCATGTTACCTAAGTGACCTGCATGTTACCTAAGTAACCAGTATGTCACCCTAGTAACCTGCATGTTACCTAAGTAACCAGTATGTTACCTAAGTAGCCAGTATGTCACCCTAGTAACCAGTTGCAGTATGTTGCCTAAGTAACCAGTATGTTGCCTAAGTAACCTGCATGTTACCTAAGTAACCAGTATGTCACCCTCGTAACCTGCATGTTACCGAAGTAACCAGTATTTTACCTAAGTAACCAGTATGTCACCCTAGTAACCAGTATGTTACCTAAGTAACCAGCATGTTACCTAAGTAACCTGCATGTTACCTAAGTAACCAGTGTGTTACCTAAGTAACCAGATGGTCTTGTAGACAAGGTTCTCGTATGTGTCCTCAAAGTCTCCGATCAGCAGATCACCTGTCTCCACCGCTTCCTGTCTCATCTCTTCCAAAAGAGTTCGGTTTGTGGAGTAACCGCACACGAACGCGTAATGGAAGTTGAAGTCGTCTTTGTAACTGTAGGTCCAGGGAAAGTTAAGGTAACTTTCTAAACGGAGCTGATCTCTAAACTCTCTGTTGTTGGGAGCTGAGGGGAGGGTCAGATAACAGTAGAAAATACTTGTAATAATAGGGTCTAATTTTTTAGGGTTTTAAAAAGTAGGACAACTAATAGGGTGCGATTAGATAGTAGTAACCTGTTATTATGAGAATAAGTATTTCAGTGTCGATCACTTTTTTAATGGAGTTAATTTCTTTTAAATGTCCCATTACTTGCTCCCGGCCCTGCCCCAATTCCTCCTCCAGCGCCTTCAACTCACTGCACAATCTCTCTCCATCCTGTTTTTAGCTTTCATTAACTTGTTTTACTTTAATTAAGGGAGTTTACTGAATTAGACTTGTAATTTGGTGTTTTTATTTGAAAATATCATAGAATTGTGTGATAATTTCGATTACTATGAATACATGAAATGTATCAGAGAATTAATAACAGACAAGTCTAACCTGTTTAACATATAAAATGGTGAAAATGAAAGCTGGTACTAGAAAGGCCAGTGGGACGAGGTATTGTCGCATTCTCCTACTAGACCACACGACTGCTGTGTTATTCTTAGTTTACCCCACTAGTAGTAGTAGCAACAGTGTGAACCTCTCTAATCCCACGAAACTGACTGCAAATTATATGTACTCCTCCTCTACATATCCATCCTCCTTTGCTGTTCCTTAAAATTGTGAAATTACAACTAATCAATAGCAACTCAGATCGTAGCAAAACAGCTTTAATCAAAGCAGAAAGTTGAAAGCATATAGGCTTCCGGTGGGTATTAAGTTTACCCAGCATGAAAGGTTACACTTCACAATAATGTGTACCCAGCTCTAAAAATCTATAAAATATCGGATTACTGTGCAATCACACGGGACAAATGAAAGTGAAAATATCAGTTGCTGGGTAAAGAGAAGGTGTACAATGTGTACATTTTGTACACTGTACTAGTGTGTCCGCCACTAAGTGGTGTTAAAGCGGGGAGGCATTGTGAACACTTGCCCAGTATAATAACAGTTAACAAGAACAGCTTTAATATTGGGTTACCGTGCAACAATAGCGTAAACAATGGGCCAGTAGAAAAGAAACGTGGCAAAAGGTGGCAGAGTTGATCGTCTGAATTGTTCCGAGTGCTACAACTGGGGTTATAGGAAGTAGAAAAGCGCTGCAGTCTCTGCAAACAATGTGACGTGGCCAGGCTATTTAAACATTTCAACAATGAATAAAAAAGGCAGTGGTATGTGTATTGTGTAACTGCATTAGAATAACACGACCGGGTCCCGTTATAATGTAAGATGATCTAAGGTCACCCATTTTTAAAGCTCTCAATGTAGTTTGTATATCTCGTTATCAATGATTAAGGTCATTAGGGATATTATTTAATTAGGTTTATTGTGTACTTTAATTGGACTAATTCTGTCCGTAATTAGTCTATGAAGTATCAGAGCATCGTTCTAACCTTAAAGTTAAATTACACATAACTCACTAGCTGAACTGGCTCGTATACGTCGGATACACAGGTTCTAACCTGTGAATCTGGCCTCCAGCTCGCAATTTTTTGAGATTCAAGAAAATCGACGATATTCATGAAAATATGTGAAGGACGGATAGGCTGTAAGAGGTTCTGCTCGACAAAATAGCGTTGCAAATAATTTCATATGAGAAACTCAAACGTGTTCAGGCACTGGCACTCAGAATGATGTCTGGTGCCTTACTGGGCCGCGCTCAGCCTGTCATTCCGCCGAATCTCTATTCGGCGGAATAGAACATGATAGCCTGAGGTCCCCAGGTAATCTGGTGCCATGCCAAGCAAACCCCTTTATCGCATTGAATCACCTCACTGACACTTCAGACATCATACTTTTCCTGAGAGGCGAAGCAGCGAAGGGTGCAACCAGGCTGCAAGCTTATGGCAGCCTCACCCTTGAAACTATCGCCTACAGAAAAGGAACTATCAAAAATCATACCACTATCAATAAATAATTCATCCGGCAGATCTCAATATACCACCTAGAGCAACAAGAGACCTAACAACACCAACCATGGTCCATGATGCTGGGACGGCTTTTCACCGTCACAACTCCTGGAGCTGATAATACTGGATAATATATAAATTCACTTCAAAACACCATCGACAAAATTACCAGTGAAACGATCACCTGCTACACAGACGGGTCACTCACAGTGGCGTAACGAAAGGCCCTGCTGACCCCGCTGTGCAGGGGGGCGCCGTCTTAGGGGGGCGCCAAATCGTCGTTTGAATGTGGGACAATTTCGAAAACTTAACTAAAGTACTAGCAAAACTGCGCGTTTTGCTCTAGATACACACTTTTTTAGAGATTTTACCGGCGTATTATTTAAAATCACCTAATTTGTTCAATTTTAGGGTGGGGCACCAAAAGGGGAGGGGGCGCCAACAAGGGGGCGCTTTTTTCGGCAGGGGGGCGCCAACAGGCAACGTTACGCCACTGGTCACTCACAGACTCAGGAAGCGGGGCTGGCTATATTATCACAACTGACAACAATAACATCACCCTAGAAGAAAGATCATTCAATCTCCCTGATTATTGCACAGTTTATCAAACAGAGCTCACCGCCATAATCGAAGCTTGCAAATATCTCTCTACCTATACCAACACACATATCATCATATGGTCTGACAGTCTCTCATCAATAGATGTGGATACTGGCGGGGAGGTGATACTTGTTTGTTTACTTTAATAGTAAGTACATGTTCGGCAGGTTGAAGAGACGCTTGTAACGCCTTCTATTCTTGTTACCCCCCTTTGAAGGCCCCGAATTATTTTCTGAACGAAAGCTCAGAAATAACCGAGAAATCGATTTTCTTATTAAATCATTATGATGACTGTTTCTGACCTAAAACCTAATACGAGCAACAAGCAACATATATTTTGATCCTTCGGTTCTACAGCTCATGACCTAGGGCCTAGGGAGTTAAGCTGAAACCGAAAGGTCGAGGCAATCATCACCTTAACTGATCGAACAGGTACTAACACAATTTTCAGATAGAAATGTTCGTTGCAATATGAATATGTCTATTGCAGCTTTGCAACTTGAGTGAAGAGCAGAGTACGAAAAACACAGCAGGTAAGCAACTCATTTTGGTGACTGTTCTTCACCTAACGTTGCACGAGAAATCGATTTAAGTTGGTTTTGCAGCCCAATATAAACGCTTCCTTATTCCTCAAAATTCTTGTGTTACTCAAACAAAGAATATTTTGATTCACTTTCAGCAACGATTCTCAAGCTATCTCTCCGCTTTCAACGCGGAGTAGAACTACAAAAGACTGTTACTGGTTACGACTCTCTTAATGCACTCGGATCCACCAACACGCTAGAGATACGATGGATTGCAGCACATATCGGATTGTGGGGGAACGAAAAAGCAGATGAGCTGGCCAAGCTTGGTACAATCAGTGAATCCACTTTGAAGTGTCCAATTCCACAATCTTACATTAAACGTCAAATCGACAACAAAGTCAACAGACTAAATCACTATCAGTGATCAGGAAATTTGGTTAACTGATGGTCCCAGACACACCAAACTGACACTCGGCCACAAGCACGCCAACATCATCAAAAACCTCAACACTACACTCAGCAACAACAGACAAAATTACAGAACTGCAGTTCACCTCATCACGGGTCACTGCGGCTTAAACAAACACCTTCACAGTTCACACCATTTACAAATCAAGCACCAGTGCTTGTCCTACTCCTATGTGCGGCGACGAAAAGGAAACTGTCTCACACTTCCTTGGACAGTGACCAGTGTCCGGCTATGCATATAACGCACTTGCTGAACTAGCGCTGATACGTCGGATTTGAACTTGTAAATCTGGCCTCCAGCTCCCCATTTTTGAGATCCGGCAAGGAAAGACGAAGCAAGGAATATCACCCGTCATGGACGACCCTGAAGTCCCCTATATGCCAAATGATTATGACTCTGGAAGTCTGTAATTATCTAATAAGATTCCATTGCTGCACTATAAATGCTTTTCATACAAAGTTACAACAAAGTTTTCATGTTAGGGGTCGTTCACATATTACGTAATCAGCTGAGGGGGGGGGGGGGGGGGGGGGGGGTTCCGAATGATTACGCTAGCGTAATTTTGACACAATAGCTATGTGTAAAACTGATTACGTAGGAGGGGGGGGGGGGGGGGGGGGGTAAAGATGTTCCAAAAAATGATCATGTAATATGTGAACGACCCCTTATTTCTTAAATGTATCCTGGGTTTTAAATATTTCTATCGCGTTGCCGTTACATAATAGTAATACTCAACAAATGTAATAGATTTGTAGTGTTGTAATTAGTTTAAAGTATTTTACCAGTACTACTAGTAGTAGCTAGCTATGATATGTAATGCTTCACTTGACGGATGTTACTCGTCTAAATTTCTTCGAAGTACTAGTAGCGCGCGCCGCTTTCTCATTTCTTCTCGAAATGTTGGCCCGAGGCAAGTGCTACGTTACTGGGCCGCACTCAGCCTGTCATTCCGCCTAATCTCTATTCTGTTTATGAACATGATAGCCTGAGGTCCCCAGGTAAGTGCTACGAAGATTTCGCATAATACCTTCTTCTAGAGCATTGGGCTCTTTCTAAATCGCTCGCCCAAACCGTAATAACAATTTCAACTTTTGCGCGTCTCCTAAATGCGCGTTAGTTATCTGTGATAATTTAGCACCGGCGAACCACATGTTCTGCCTACTAGCAAAGTTCACTCAAAGCGTTCCGCGCCCGCGGATAAGTCAATATTTGTGGTTTTCAGAGACCAGATATTGCCATATCTGGATCATTAAAAAGGCCACCTGATAAGTCTATACAGACATCAAAACTCTTTTTATCAGTAGTCAGAGTGGTTCGTTGTCATTTTAGTTGTAGCACTTCCTTATTGCTAATATATAATTGGGAAAGCAAAATAATAGACTTCAAATATGCTTTCCACATTGGAAAATACAATTCACTTTATATCTCCAATATTATTGGAAACTACAGTACACTTATCTCTAGTATTATTGGAAAATACAGTACATTTATCTCCAGTAGGCAGTATTATTGGAAAATACAGTACACTTATCTCCAGTATTATTGGAAAATACAGTACGCTAATCTCCAGTATTATTGGAAAATACAGTACACCTATCTCTAGTATTATTGGAAAATACAGTACACTTATCTCTAGTATTATTGGAAAATACAGTACACTTATATCTCTAGTATTATTGGAAAATACAGTACACTTATCTCCAGTATTAATGGAAAATACAGTACACTTATCCCCAGTATCAATGGAAAATACAGTACACTTATCTCCAGTATTATTGGGAAATACAGTACACTTATCTCCAGTATTATTGGAAATACAGTACACTTATCTCCAGTATTATTGGAAAATACAGTACACTTATCTCCAGTATTATTGGAAAATACAGTACACTTATCTCTAGTATTATTGGAAAATACAGTACATTTATCTCCAGTATTATTGGAAAATACAGTACACTTATCCCCAGTATTACTGGAAAATACAGTACACTTATCTCCAGTATTATTGGAAAATACAGTACACCTATCTCCAGTATTATTGGAAAATACAGTACACTTATCTCCAGTATTATTGGAAAATACAGTACACTTATCTCTAGTATTATTGGAAAATACAGTACATTTATCTCCAGTAGGCAGTATTATTGGAAAATACAGTACACTTATCTCCAGTATTATTGGAAAATACAGTACGCTAATCTCCAGTATTATTGGAAAATACAGTACACCTATCTCTAGTATTATTGGAAAATACAGTACACTTATCTCTAGTATTATTGGAAAATACAGTACACTTATATCTCTAGTATTATTGGAAAATACAGTACACTTATCTCCAGTATTAATGGAAAATACAGTACACTTATCCCCAGTATCAATGGAAAATACAGTACACTTATCTCCAGTATTATTGGGAAATACAGTACACTTATCTCCAGTATTATTGGAAATACAGTACACTTATCTCTAGTATTAATGGAAAATACAGTACACTTATCTCCAGTATTATTGGAAAATACAGTACACTTATCTCTAGTATTATTGGAAAATACAGTACATTTATCTCCAGTATTATTGGAAAATACAGTACACTTATCCCCAGTATTACTGGAAAATACAGTACACTTATCTCCAGTATTATTGGAAAATACAGTACATTTATCTCCAGTATTATTGGAAAATACAGTACACTTATCTCTAGTATTATTGGAAAATACAGTTTACTTATCTCCAGTATTATTGGAAAATACAGTACACTTATCTCCAGTATTAATGGAAAATACAGTACACTTATCCCCAGTATTAATGAAAAATACAGTACACTTATCTCCAGTAATATTGGAAAATACAGTACACTTATCTCCAGTAATATTGGAAAATACAGTACACTTATCTCCAGTATTATTGGAAAATACAGTACACTTATCTCCGGTATTATTGGAAAATACAGTACGCTATAAATCTCCAGTATTATTGGAAAATACAGTACACCTATCTCTAGTATTATTGGAAAATACAGTACACTTATCTCCAGTATTATTTGAAATTATAGCATACTATCAGCGTGGTTCGCTGTAAGTGTACTCTCAATAGCATACAGCATTTGTGTATTAATAATCTATCAATTTGTTTGAGGTTGCTTGAACAACAATCGATCCCAATAATGCTCGCTTGCTGTTTTTCTGAATATAATATTTGGGTAAGCAACTAATCCATTTTAATGACCTACTTGAACAATGAACAGATACATTTTTTCTCTTTTAAGCGATCGGAGACTCATAATAAGTGTTACGTAGAACAGGGAATCAAGAGGAGATGGTTTCATTCATTATACTGTATTAAAATGAAAACAACTTGTTTTGTAAAAAAGAAAAAATTAATAAAGCAATAAATGATGCAATAAAATAAAACAAAAATCAGATTTAAATTCATAAAATTCGACAAAATCATACATCATTCTCGAAATCAGAGTCTGATCTGAAACCATAATTTAGTTTCCTTTCGGGAAACTTTTTTCGCTTTTTTTTGCTCGCTTTGGGAGCGAATCTGCGAAGTCCGTCCGCTTTTCTGCCCGAGAAGTCGTTGACAACAGTGACAAATCGTCCCGAGTTGCTGTTACCGTCATGTCAATCTTTGTCATCTCCGAAAGCCTGAATGTTAAATGTTTTGATACATCGTCGAAAAAATATATGTTCATTGCAATACACATATTTGAACAGCAAGATAGTAACATATACATAACATTAGCAGCGGTCATTAGCAACGGTCTTTGTCCAGCTATAAAATACAAATAATATTTTTCAGCTTCACATAGAAACTGTATCACATGACAGTTGACACGTAAAGAACTGATTTTCACAATTTCACCTTTTCACAAATTCATAAATTGTTCGTTTACATGTTTACATATATAATAACATCTATAAACAAAAGAGCACCTAAAGAGGCTCAGCAAAGTGCTGGCCTATTTACGCTTACGAAGACTCATTCGTTCAATATGTCTCAAAGTAAATAAACTCCTCCATCCTACTCTATCTCTTGCTAAGTTCACTAAATTGGTAAAATCATCTTCGTTTTTCAAATAAATTTGTCTCTTAAATAGGTCCTTTTTCACAATAATATCATACAAATTAGTCCTATGTCTACCCACTCGTCCCTTTAGCGTTTGACATCCTAGTGTAGCAAATAACAGAGACTGGTAGGCAGGCGTGTCGTTGTCACTGCGTAGAACATGACCTAGCATTGTCCACCGTGCCTTTTCCACTCTCTCGGAAAGGGGCCTGGTCTGGGTACGAGCGTAGAGGGCCTTGTTAGATATTGAGCTAGGCCAATAGATGTGTAGGATGCGCTTGAGGTGCTTCCTCTGAAAAACATCTACAGACTCTAGAACATGCTGAGGTACGGCCCAGCAGCAGCAGTTGTACAGGAGCACTGATACTACTAGTGAGTCGTAGAGTTTGATCTTTCTCTTCTCAGTTATCTGACTCCTCTCTGATCCCTGGCACCACAGCTTGTCAAATGACCAGAAGGCGGTGTTAGCTTTATTTATTCTATTAGTAACATCCTGCTCTGATCCAAGCTTACTGCTTAGTACCAAGAAGCGTCTCGTTTCTCCACTCCTCTTTTCCTCTTAGCTCATTATCCCACTCGTCGCAGGCACCAACTTCTTCTAAATACACTCTGGTAAACTTTGTCTTTGTGTCATTGACAAAGAGACTCCATTCACTGAGAATATTCTTGGAGATCTAAAAGATATCCTGTAACTCCTCCATATCTTCACCAATCTCCTCTACATCGTCTGAATAGCCGGACTCAAGAGGCATGTGGTTATCGGCTATCGGAGGGTTGGGTCTTGAGGGGAGGACTGCTCTTATGTGCACTACAGCTCCAGCTAGATTGAGGGTAAACAATTTACCAGCTGTGCTGTCTCCTTGGGAGGCTCCTATGTTGAAAGAGAACATCTCTGAGTCAGTAGAACACACTCTGACTACTAGAGTGGTGTTAGCCATGAGGTATTGTACAAGCCTCAGGTCGTCTCTGGAGCATCCTGCAGCTTCTAGTAGTCTGATTGTTGTACCTCTGCGGATGGTATTGAAGGCAGCTGACATGTCAATACTCACTTTGTTCCATTCAAACTCCTTCTTCATTACTACAGATATGAGCATGCTCTGTGCCCAAACTAGGTCGGCACAGCTCTTGCCAGGCAGCTCTTGTAGGCAGCTTGGAACGGTCCGGTGAAGTTTTCCACAGCTCTCTCTATCCAGTTCAGAAACCGAGTAAGGAGGTGCGGCTACTGATGAGAAGCCTCCTTAAAGTTTATTTGGGTTAGAAACGACATCTGGGTCCCTACCCTCGCACAAGATTATTCTCAATTTTCTTGTTGTGTTCCACAACTATACTTCTGTATACTTCAGTGATTGGGCTGATGACTCCAGTGAAAAGGCTGGTGACTCTAGTGAAAGTGCTGGTGACGATGAGAAAGACCATAAACCAGGGATTCCTTCGGGAGCATGTAAGATTATATCCAAAGTTTGTTCGCCAATGGGGTGTGTCTGGGTGTCAAAGATCTTCAAGGTGGGTGCTACTTGTGATGAACTCTAGAAGGATGGGGTGGTAATACTCGGTCTGGCCGTCTGGAAGCCCATAGAATTCCAGTTCAGAAACCGAGTAAGGAGGTGCGGCTACTGATGAGAAGCCTCCTTAAAGTTTATTTGGGTTAGAAACGACATCTGGGTCCCTACCCTCGCACAAGATTATTCTCAATTTTCTTGTTGTGTTCCACAACTATACTTCTGTATACTTCAGTGATTGGGCTGATGACTCCAGTGAAAGGGCTGGTGACTCTAGTGAAAGTGCTGGTGACGATGAGAAAGACCATAAACCAGGGATTCCTTCGGGAGCATGTAAGATTATATCCAAAGTTTGTTCGCCAATGGGGTGTGTCTGGGTGTCAAAGATCTTCAAGGTGGGTGCTACTTGTGATGAACTCTAGAAGGATGGGGTGGTAATACTCGGTCTGGCCGTCTGGAAGCCCATAGAATTCCAGTTCAGAAACCGAGTAAGGAGGTGCGGCTACTGATGAGAAGCCTCCTTAAAGTTTATTTGGGTTAGAAACGACATCTGGGTCCCTACCCTCGCACAAGATTATTCTCAATTTTCTTGTTGTGTTCCACAACTATACTTCTGTATACTTCAGTGATTGGGCTGATGACTCCAGTGAAAGGGCTGGTGACTCTAGTGAAAGTGCTGGTGACGATGAGAAAGACCATAAACCAGGGATTCCTTCGGGAGCATGTAAGATTATATCCAAAGTTTGTTCGCCAATGGGGTGTGTCTGGGTGTCAAAGATCTTCAAGGTGGGTGCTACTTGTGATGAACTCTAGAAGGATGGGGTGGTAATACTCGGTCTGGCCGTCTGGAAGCCCATAGAATTCCAGTTCAGAAACCGAGTAAGGAGGTGCGGCTACTGATGAGAAGCCTCCTTAAAGTTTATTTGGGTTAGAAACGACATCTGGGTCCCTACCCTCGCACAAGATTATTCTCAATTTTCTTGTTGTGTTCCACAACTATACTTCTGTATACTTCAGTGATTGGGCTGATGACTCCAGTGAAAGGGCTGGTGACTCTAGTGAAAGTGCTGGTGACGATGAGAAAGACCATAAACCAGGGATTCCTTCGGGAGCATGTAAGATTATATCCAAAGTTTGTTCGCCAATGGGGTGTGTCTGGGTGTCAAAGATCTTCAAGGTGGGTGCTACTTGTGATGAACTCTAGAAGGATGGGGTGGTAATACTCGGTCTGGCCGTCTGGAAGCCCATAGAATTCCAGTTCAGAAACCGAGTAAGGAGGTGCGGCTACTGATGAGAAGCCTCCTTAAAGTTTATTTGGGTTAGAAACGACATCTGGGTCCCTACCCTCGCACAAGATTATTCTCAATTTTCTTGTTGTGTTCCACAACTATACTTCTGTATACTTCAGTGATTGGGCTGATGACTCCAGTGAAAAGGCTGGTGACTCTAGTGAAAGTGCTGGTGACGATGAGAAAGACCATAAACCAGGGATTCCTTCGGGAGCATGTAAGATTATATCCAAAGTTTGTTCGCCAATGGGGTGTGTCTGGGTGTCAAAGATCTTCAAGGTGGGTACTACTTGTGATGAACTCTAGAAGGATGGGGTGGTAATACTCGGTCTGGCCGTCTGGAAGCCCATAGAATTCCAGTTCAGAAACCGAGTAAGGAGGTGCGGCTACTGATGAGAAGCCTCCTTAAAGTTTATTTGGGTTAGAAACGACATCTGGGTCCCTACCCTCGCACAAGATTATTCTCAATTTTCTTGTTGTGTTCCACAACTATACTTCTGTATACTTCAGTGATTGGGCTGATGACTCCAGTGAAAGGCTGGTGACTCTAGTGAAAGTGCTGGTGACGATGAGAAAGACCATAAACCAGGGATTCCTTCGGGAGCATGTAAGATTATATCCAAAGTTTGTTCGCCAATGGGGTGTGTCTGGGTGTCAAAGATCTTCAAGGTGGGTGCTACTTGTGATGAACTCTAGAAGGATGGGGTGGTAATACTCGGTCTGGCCGTCTGGAAGCCCATAGAATTCCAGTTCAGAAACCGAGTAAGGAGGTGCGGCTACTGATGAGAAGCCTCCTTAAAGTTTATTTGGGTTAGAAACGACATCTGGGTCCCTACCCTCGCACAAGATTATTCTCAATTTTCTTGTTGTGTTCCACAACAGCACTATCAGTGTAAGGATGCCTGCTCCTATTGCTTCAATGTGAATGTTTTTCTCGAAAGACTCGTTGAACACTTTAGCTAGCTCTTCATGAAGGAGGGGGTTGTTCAGGGCTTTCATGACCTCGCATGTTTACATGGTGATTGTTAATTTTATCAATTAACCTTTGTGTTAAAGTGTTAACTTGTTAAATATTCACTTTATCTATCTACTTTTGTTATTTAGTTTATTTTACTTACCGTGGAAGAAGCATCCCATCAATAACACTTGAGACCTATTTGGATAAGCATCTAGGACATACACCAAGGCTCATAAACAATCATACACTAGACCCACACAGGACTATCTCAGATAGTGACACATATTCAGGTGTGGACCATGCTCGGAAGTCCCTCGCCTGCCCGCCAAAGAAGAACATCTGAAGTGGGTTTGCTCTGAGCAAGGTAGTAACAGCTTCGAGACTCCAGAGGTCTGTTGCGTTGATATCTATTATTCTATGTTTTTGTATATACTTAGGGAGTCCTGGAGTGTGGCTAGCAGGAGTCACACTCTGTGGGCACGGCGAGAAGGCCTCCCTCTTCACTAGGAGGCCAGAAACCGTTGACCAAAACAGAGAGAGAGAGAGAACACTTGAGACAAGGTCTCTCATCTCACGTCTATTTTCAGGAGCAACACTGAAAAAATTATGAGTAAATATACAGATAGTCGCAAATTTTGTTGTGTCACGGTATTATTCATCAGGTTTGTGATTCGCACACTAGTAATGATTTGCAAGCCGCTTTGAACAATATTATTTTAAGGTTTCTTGAAAGTTTGGATTTCCAGATGTTATTCTAGGTCACCTAATACTTCTACCTTTTACCCTATCTACCTATCTGTCCTTTCAATTTAGGAGCCTAACCATCGACATTTTTTATAACACTCGAATAACACCTTTTCAACTTAATACAAGATATCTAAACTATAGCGTAATAAAAACGAACTTATAGATCATGCTCCTAAGATCTGCAAGTTCTCCGAATGTTGCACTTAGGTCTCCCTCAGTGTTTTTATCTGTTTTCTTCGGGCTCTGGTCTTGTGGAAGACTATCGTGTACTGTTAGTGGAAGACTGACTTCTTGAGTCGAACAGCTAGCACCAGGATCCGTGCATAGGTGAGGATTGTGCCTGCGATACAGTGTCAATGAAATTAATTGTTATAGAATCCGTATCAAAATAGGCATAGCGTTCTTATCAGATACAAGAGGATGCAATGATCAAACAACTAGTTTTACGCTGAAATAGGTTATTCATAATTACTTAAATGAAGCAAGATCCGTTTCTTACCTGAATGAAAGCGGAAGATCGGTCCATTCAACGTTCGACTCACGAATAACCGCCAATAAATGTTTGCACGGTAATTCTGGGTAAGACCTGAAGTTCAGGCAATCACAATGGACACTCGGACTGACGGTGACCTGGAAATGTGGGTAATTAGTTATTGATTAATCTGATTGTTATTTAATACTCAATTAATTGATAGTAAAGTAAATGTCCAAAATACAAGTACAGGGAGCGTCGACGAGTGTTGTTAAGTAGGGGCGATTGTGCTCGTTATGGGACTACCAGTTATGTGCTAGTACTGACTACTGAGCGTAAGGAACGCTGGTATGGCTAGGACCCTGGTATGGCTAGAACAGAGAAGGTACTTAGACTGGGTGGTGTAGCCGGTGACTGAAACGGTTTAAGAAAACATGTGAAGAATGTTTAGGGCACCCTGGCCCTGATAAGCAATGCTGAGTAGTGTAGGTTTATTTGATGGCCTGGAAGTGCTAGGAATTGTTATTATATCATAATAGTCGTAAGGAATTAAAACACAGAAGGCACAAACAAGTTTACTTTGTCGCATAATCTTGATGATATCTGAACAAGTGTGAAATTGAACAAATAATGATATACCAGCTTAAACCCCTTATATTATGTACTATTAGAAAACCCGTGGTCACAGTGAGCAAGCTAATATTGATAGATGGATCAAACAACACTGCTAGTACCACGCACCAGTCACATAAATCATTATCGGGTGGTAATATGTTAACAGTGTCACAATTAAACTACTGCAACATGGTCAAAAATAGGGTTATTTCGTCACAAAAAATTATTATAACTCTGTTAGCTCCTTGCTGGCAAAATAACTAGTTCATTGATGATAAAGTTACATAGTATTCTAATAGAGGTATAGCTCTTCAAAATAGGGGCAAGACATGTATACTTTGTCACATCAGTAATTATTATAAGAGTTAGGTAATCGTCATCAGATTAACAGATCTTGTTCGTAGTTTGGATCGATTAATATAGGCAATAAAGCATCCTATGCCAATTTAAACACACTATCTTGATATTGTTGGGGCAGGGAAAATTAATTTTGTCACATTTTCAGCGTCTTTGACAAATTAATCTAAAATTGTTAAACTTGAGCTCTGATGTTCTGGATAATATTCTACCAATCGTTTCTGAAAGAATGTTGAATTCTAATAGAGTTATAGATCTTCAAAATAGAGGCAAGACATGTTTACTTTGCCACATCAGTTATTATAAGAGTTAGGTAATCGTCATCAGATTAACAGATCTTTTTTTTGTAGTTTGGATCGATTAATATAGGCAATTAAGCATCATATGTCAATTTTAACACACTATCTTGATATTGTTGGGACAGGAAAAGTTAATTTTGTCACATTTTTAGTGACTTTGACAAATTTAACCTAAAATTGTTAAACTTGAGCTCTGATGTTCTAGACAATATTCTACCAATCGTTTCTGAAAGAATGCTGAATTCTAATAGAGTTATAGATCTTCAAAATAGGGCAAAACATGTTTACTTTGTCACATCAGTTATTATTAGACTTAGGTAATCGTCATCAGATTAACAGATCTTGTTCGTAGTTTGTATCGATTAATATAGGCAATAAAGCATCATATATGTCAATTTTAACACACTATCTTGATATTGTTGGGGCAGGAAAAGTTAATTTTGTCACATTTTTAGTGACTTTGACAAATTTAACCTAAAATTGTTAAACTTGAGCTCTGATGTTCTGGACAATATTCTACCGATTTTTTTCTGGAAGAATGTTGAATTCTAATAGAGTCATAGAATATATATATATAGATCTTCAAAATAGGGGCAAGACATGTTTACTTTGTCACATCGCATCAGTTATTATAAGAGTTATTATAAGAGACTATTTCATTCTATAATCATTGTTTTTAACCTATTTACGATTTCGTATCATTTTTTGTGACAATGTAAACATCAATTGATCTTAACTTGCATCAACTACATTGTCATCATATGATAAAGTTTTCCCGCCTTTCAAACCAAAATCAGATATAAATAATTCGCCCAAAATTTAAAATTCCATATATTGTGACAGAATTAACCTCATTTCCCAATAACCAAGTGCCTGTATTAGCTAACTATTCGAAACAAAATATTTTAGGGCTATGATTGGTAGATCAACCATCAAATAATGAGTTAAAAGGTTTTTGAGGACACCTCACAGTAGAATAGAGGTATGGTATTCTGAGTGTGACAAAGTTACCCAAATATTGCCTTGTAACCGTTCGATGTAAATGAGCTTTTGTCACCATTAAAGTCTCATATGAGAGCGAATAAGTTACATATAAACATGTCCAAGTGCTGCTACATACACTTCAAACCCACCATGGCAGGTCCTAAGTTAGAGACTTTATCACACCCTGAAGTTGTATTAACTATAGACAACTTTCCAATCAAAAAAGGTTTCATCCGCAAAATTTCTGGGTGTTATAATTGACGAGAACCTATCATGGGAAGATCACATTAAAGCTCTTAAGCGAACTCTAAATCATTCCACGTCCACTTTATGTAGACTTCGCTGCTCCCTTCCAGAATTTCTACACCAACAATTATATTATACCCTGTTCGAATCACATCTTTCCTACTGTATATCTGTATGGGGTGGGGTAGCGAAACAACGTATAAGCTCAGAAGTACTGTCTCAGAGTACTATTTGGTGACAGGCTGGCATACCTTGATAAGTTTAAGACTTGTGCACGTACTAGGCCTATAGGACACGAGAAACTTGACCAAAAAGTTTTCATAAAAGAGCACACCAAACCGATATTTAAGCATAATAATATTCTAGCTATACAAAATCTCTATACATACCACAGTTACCTCGAGCTCTACAACATAATGAAATTCCGTGCTCCAATATCCTTACGTGAGGGTTACACATGTTCCTCGAGGAAACCCTGCCTTCTAATCTGTCAGGCAGACCCACCTGACAATCACAACACTAGATCAACCAAAATTTTTAACATTTAACCCCAAAATTCAGAATGACTGACTTTACTACTAGTGTAATGTGCTTGCGAGCACTTTTTTTTTTGTTTTTCCCAGCCGCTAATCTGTAGCTCACTTTTAATCGACCCAGTTTAGACCTCATGTCATTTAGATCTTCTATGTTGAGACAAGTTCTCAGATTATGGTTTTATAACTACGGTACTGAGCAGTACTATTTATCACAACTACCTATTTATATAGCACACTTCACAATCGACCCATCTCTAGACCCAATCATGCAAATGAGTTTATGTCACCATCACCTGCAACAAGAGTACGTTACCAGCATCACGGACAAAGGATAGGACAAAGAAGACACTATCTGCCACACTTATAGAGCCTGGCAAACTCTAATCAAAGGTAAGTCTGGCAGTGGTTCACACTCTGTTGATATCTCTTTAATGAGACTTGATTGAGGCCTCTCAACTTCCCTAGTTGAGTGTGTCCCACAACCAAGCTCATTGCCTAGAAGTCCTGCATTATTATAATGCACCTGGACATATGTGGCAAGTATAAGCTCTTTAAACCAAAACCAAAACCAAAACCAAAATGTGCTTGCGAGGTAAGCTAAAACGTGCGCTATTAACGAATCAACATAATCACGCCCTGCTTGATTGGACTGTCAAAGATTTTGACTGCGCAAATCTTATTTCCCAAACATTATAACTGGCTGGTCACACACATCTCAATTAAAATTACCCTAGGCTACTGTTTTCCAAGTCTTGTCCTGTGAGTAAAGTATGTGTGAGGTGTGAGAAAGTTTTAATAAAATTATTGTATATTTACTTTTGAATTTTTAAAATCTAATTTGAGAATGAAGTTTACAGAAATCTTAATTAGCACTGTATAGTTTAAGATATTTATAGCTTATTATAACCATTGATACAAAGGCCATAATCTTTCGCCAGCTCTCCAATATCCACCTTGAAAGCTTGAAGCTGCATTTTATATCCTTGAACTACACAATATAAACTAAAGAATGTTTTAGTGTAGACTTTTTGTCACAACAAGACTGTATAACCTATAATAACAACTATAAACAGAACCCCTAATATCTGCTTACAATTTTTCTTCTAGTCCTAATCTGAGCCTTGTCTCTATAAACTTAACTGAACTAGCGTTTCGGTGTGTGCAAAAGCTTCCAGGCACGCGCATTCCTAGCCCCGTTAGTTACCTGTCCTTCCGAAACCAAACTAGCAGTCAAGGACAAAAAGTCATACACCAAATGGGCATTATATTTTATAAATTGTTTTACATCTTTTTATTCTGTAAAAATGTGCTAAAATTAAATTTCTTGTTTCATTGAATTTCTTGTTTCATTGATCCGTGCCCTTTAACCAATGCAATGTTGTATCATAATTATTAGATTGACCTAATCTACTATATTTCAGACCAAGGAATGATAGTTAGACAACTGCAGTTAACTTAGTCACACAAAATGTGACATTTGAACCATTATAGTGCCTAACAACAATAGATTTTCTATCTGAGCAGTGCATATGGGAGTATGGGTTACGTGGCTATAATGTTCAGAACTTCTGAACGTGCTAGGTTAATATATGTCAAAATTAAGCCACTATCGTCGAAAACGCTATCATTTTTGTTTACCAATATCCTCAAACTCGAATGAACGTGTCCATAATA